ACTTTCGAATAAGTCCTTTTTATCAGCCTACACTTAGAAACATTCCTTAAAATCTTGAACTTAAATTTCTACACACAACACACGATGTATGTCAGTTAAAAAAATGCTACAGGTTTGTTTTTAAAGTTTTTATCACTTTATCACACAATTAGATATTGAAGGAAATCTGCGACAGTCTTTTATGCACACTTATTGAGTACAGCTTGATGCAAGAATAAAAAGCAACTTTGTTTAGTAGCTGTACATGCTGTGTTTTACCCTTTGAAGCATCATTTCATTCATAGCAATTTAAGCGTATTGTTATAAAATGACATTTTCATGAATTAATATTTACGAGCTCAAATTTTTTGCTTTATGAAACGAATAAATATTCTTTGCCATAACATCATTTTATCTTCATTAATGACATAACGTTCTTAAATAGCAAGGATGCGATGATGTTTGGATTTTAGAACAGGAAAACATATGGTAAAATATTTTCCAAAACTGCACATCAAAATGTGTTTCGTATATTATGTAGTAATACAATAAAGTACGTATATGCCTTTTTGCTGAGTTAAAAATATTAATACAGAAATTCAACGCAAGCTGTGAGCTTTTTACAATTTTGAGTGATGCTAATTTCAGGATATGTTCTTCACATTTAGGAGAAGAAATCAAATATTTCGAAATATGGCATTTCGAATAAATCAATTAAACAAAAGCTGACTGTGAGTAACCTTTCATGAATATTCATATGCCAGCGCCTTTTAATTATATTTCCACTTAATTTAAAAACATGATACAATTTTAAGGCATAGTTTGAATTTGTGTATTAAATGTTATCATTGTAATACAAAACCACGAAAGAGTAATATTTTAAACGCAGAAAGGTTTACATGAGATATTCACATTTTAGTTACAAATATGTAATAATTTTGTTGAATAATTACCTTCAGTTCATCAGATATGATTTAACTGTTTACATAGAATGTTTCGCTATTTATCACGAAAAAAACACTTTACACAACTTTGCATTTTTTAAGGTAGACTAATAAAGTTAGTTAAAGCTTGTGAAAACATACTTTGTAAATACAATAATTAAAAAGAACTGGCATTTGACAAAATCATTCGCAGTGAGAAACATTTTGCATGTTACAATCTGTCGCAGTTTTTCAATAATTTTACACATCATACATAATATTTTCTAGTAGTTTATAATATTTATTTGCTACCACAAAACACCATTCTGTTTATGTACAAGATTTAAGTGGAATTCGCAGTATGCTAAATCTATATTTCTAGTCATGTCTTCTATGTACAGTGAAAAAAGGTTTCACTCCTTTTCAAGATGCTTGTTAAATCTAAATACATAATGTCACCATTAGAGGGGATGCACAATACAAAAGTAGAAAATAACTTATTTTCTATACTGCCACATACAAAGAAAGAACAAAACATGGGATTATAGAAGAAATGGTTTACATTAGTGATTTTAAAATACAACAAAATCTTTTTTGTCACTCCATAAAATCTCACTTTATTGAAGAATAGATTTACATTAACGAATTAAGTAGTATTTCCGCGTTATTATCCATCAAAATTATCACTATATTATAATAATGATAGGAGAAGGTGCTTTTCTAAGTGACTGACTGTACGGAATAATGAAGTAACGTGTCACGCGGTGATTGGCTCGGATTTCCCAAAATTCTGATTGGTGTTCGATAAGTGTGGCTAAATGTTACGTTTTTGTGATTTCAGTGCTAAATATTTGGCTGCTGAGGTTTCTTATTTTTATTGTTATGTACATCTGTTAGATGTTTTGAAAAAATAACTTCAGTAAGTGAATATATTTTTTATAAGTTACAAATAAGAGATAAAATTTCAAGAAGCTATTTATTATTTAACTACACAAGGGGGGGGAAACACTGAAAATTATTTTTGAATGTAATAAAATAAAAAATATTGCTAATATAATATATTTAATCAACAAATTGAGAAGGTTAAAGCATTTTTTTCTCCATGACCACCATAAAATGATTGAAATATTTGTGTGTTATAAGAAAATATAACTAACTGTCAAAATAAACAGCAAATTTAAGTAATTTTATTGCTTATACAAAAGAAGTATAAAACTTTTAAATACCTTCAGTGAATAATAATCAAAACTTGCTTCTAAACTGCAGAAACAAGAAATTACCATGGGATTCCTGCAAAATTCAAATTGTGTTTCCTTGCTGTATTTGAAATACAAAATTCCGCATGGCTCGATTCTGTCGAAAACCAAATATGTACACTTTTCATATTTTGGGAAATGAAAGCCGTGTAACCATTACGCTCAACGTGTTTCTAATAGTTAAATCACAGACGTTAGATAAACGGACTATTTACAGTACGCAGACGGCCACACGCATGAAACACGGTAAACGAAGATAACCTTAAAATGTGAACAACATTAATAACACATCGTCGTTGTTTTTGCAGCGCCCTCTACCGTCAAGTTATTGCAGCGAAAGTTCAATAACACATAAATGTGGAGACTGAAACATATTTAGTGAATAAAGAAGTTGAGAGAGTTTAAAGGATGAGGGAAGAAAAGGGAAATGTGCAAGACAAAGGTAAAAACAAACGCCGTACACTACACAAAACAGATTTTCATTTATCGTAATATTTACCAGTTTATTCTTGAACAGATAATAATTGACATTTAAGTAGGAGTACAAAGAATTTTGACTGATAGGATGGAATTCCAATGAAATTGAACCGAAAGCTGATGAACAGGCAAAAATATGACTTATTACGTAATATCTGCGTTGTTATAAAAATAACTGTTTTCTATTATTTTCATATTAAACTTTAAAACAAATTTTAGAAATTTTATATTGAAAGGAGCATACATGAAGTAATTAACATTAGTGCTTCAAAATAAGGGAACATTTACTCAAGTGATATGTCAATTAATAAAATTTATATCTGGTAATAATTTTTTACGAAATCTTGTGGTAATATTTGATTCCGAAACATAATGCAGTCTTAATGATACATAATTATAAAATAAGCATGCACTTTTTAATATTAAGCAAAGTTCTAAAAAATGTATGCATCATTTACCGCATTAAAAATCTGAATTTCTATATGTCTGGCATTTTTAAAGTACATATAAGCAACGGGAAATTTTGTCAATTTAAGTACTTATATTAAACATGAATTTAAGTACTGAACAATGTCTTTGCATAGACTAAAGAAATGTGTATGATTTTATTGCTTATCATAAGGCATTTTCGTTGTACAATAACAAGTACATGATTGGTTTTTATACTGAATAAAAGTACCTGCGTTAAATCTTCACTTTTTAGAGTAGAGTTTTGAACCAAACTGATTATTTTTCAGACGTATATTATAATTTAATGAACATTGCTGATAATTTACATTATGCATGTAATAAATACAATAATAAAACTTATTCCTTTGTTAAAAAAGATGTATTGAACTATTGGAATCGTGCCAACTGAAGAGAAGATGCAACCTATGGTCCAGAATCTAAATATATTTATAACTATAAAACTTTTTGTTTTACAATACGTTAAGGAAACTATAACCTAATGATAACTGTAAAAAATATATTTATAATTATAAAACTTTTTGTTTTACAATACGTTAAGGAAACTATAACCTAATGATAACTGTAAAAATATATTTTATAATTATAAAACTTTTTGTTTTACAATACGTTAAGGAAACTATAACCTAATGATAACTGTAAAAAATATATTTATAATTATAAAACTTTTTGTTTTACAATACGTTAAGGAAACTATAACCTAATGATAACTGTAAAAAATATATTTATAATTATAAAACTTTTTGTTTTACAATACGTTAAGGAAACTATAACCTAATGATAACTGTAAAAAATACTGTACAATCAACCACAAAACTATTGCTTACGAAATTTTATGCTTAACCGGAGAATAGCAAACAGCAACTGAACTTGTCGTGCAGTAGTTCAAGATGGAGATATATTTATGGTAGAATAAATTATGTCTCATTACTTCTCGTATGCTAACACCTTTTACTAAAGTTCCAATGTTATTCTCAATGACCATTACACAAAGCACGCATTTTGACACCTTCACAATGCATAGTTTTGAATCAAGGATTTATTTATGCGATAGTTAAATTCGCGAAGAAATTCTTTACGCCGGTTACACTTGGATTTCTTTACGATTTCTTCGTACGAAATTATTCCTACGTCAGCTCATGCACCTGTATGCAACGGGCAAATGCCACATAAGAAAAGAAACGTTTGGGGATGGCAGTGCATTTTCTGGCGAAGTCCACACAAAGGCAGAAAAGCACTGCTTAACAAAGAGAATAAGTGCAATTCGTTCTCCATCTATGTAGCTACTGCCTACAAAGAAAGCTAAATTCTATTGTTTTACTGCCTTAATCAATACAAATAAAGATAAATTAATAATTATAAAAGTAAATGATAAATTATTAAAATTCTCAGAAATACAGTTTTTATCTAAATTAATACTAAAAATACAAAACTATACATTAAAAATTATATTAGAAACAACAGTAGTCACATTTAACTCTAAACATTTATATGAAGTTTATTCAGATACAGAGAATTCGATAATTTTGATAATTATGGAACATACAATTTTAGTATTTAAGGTGTATTAATTAGAAGAAACAAATTTTTAATTATAAAGAAATGTTAAGCAAAATATGTGTTATTTACACGCTAAATTATTAGTATTATTTGTAAGATGAGAGGAAAAGGATTGTGAATATTTGTGGTTAAGTTAGCAGTTTTGAATTTTAAATTTCCTGAAATGGCAGCAATAAAGGAAATAATATCCGAGAGCAGATATAAAATATGAACCGAAAAAAATGTGGAAGCAGATACTTCAAAAGCCCGTCATGCAGCATAACGGTATACTTTCAGAGGACGAGACAAAGCGATAAGTGTATTACTGTGAGGGTCGCTTTCTCAAATGCTTTCAAAAGGATCATGCCAGCTCTTTCATTACTCGTTCAAACAACGTGATATTTAAAGTGATGAAAATGACAAGGTTTGGTTGAGATTACCTAGTCGAGATGTTAATGGTATATTATTTGCCTAAAGATGAATTCCATGGCGCTCATCGGCTCATTTATTGAATAATTTCAGAAGAATTGTCACCTCTCATTTTGTATATTAGAATGGAATTAATGGAATACACTAATGTCTCACTTAGTAATTAAATAATTCATTAAATTTGTTATATGTCAGTCATTAAATGTTAAAATTTAGCTCCGATTGTTTCTCTTTTAATTTAATTTTAAACTTTCAACAAGCAATTAACATTAAAAATTTCTCAAAATAAAATGAAGTTTAACAGAAAAAAACTGAAGTTGCAATGTTTAAAAAATATTTTATACCTTAATTAAGAGTTATTTAGCAGCACATGTTTTGAGAAATTGAGAAAACGCCATTTATTTTAAGAAGAATGTACCCAAAATCTTGTTAGTTGATTTTACATTTGCATGCATGTAAATGAATAAAAAATTAAAATTTAATATTTTTAATTAAACACCAATTAGATTTTGATGTGGTAATATTATAATTAAGCAGTTTTAATGATCCATTAAACATTCATACGTTTAAATGATAGGTTACAGTCTTCTAAAATCTCGAAAATAGCAAAAATCATATAAAAGGAATATGAAAGTTACATATCTTCAGTCCAGTTAAGGATAAAATATTAAAATTAAGATAAAAGATTGCTTTTTAAGAATAAATTACGCGGAAATAGTATTTTGAATTATTTATCATCGCATTACAAATGAGACATTCAATTTGAAGTTTCTAGGGCTCTTACGAAACTCCTTTATTTAAAAGATATTAACAATATTTGAATTCTTACATCTCGACTAAGTTTCTTTATATGAGGCAAAACATGGCGACGTGAAAAAGGACAAAAAGGACATCACAAAGCCAGAATTTGTTGAAAGAGAGAATAAGGGCACACTAGAGGAAAGGAAGTCGTTTCGATGTGTATGAACCTTTTATTTAAGCTAGGAAACGCATACAGCATTTCTAGCTTAAATTTATTTTTGTTTATTAGTGTCTTTGCGTCCACTTTAAAAAGCTCTGCTTCGCCTCCCATACCTTCGGCTTTATTATTTTTATTCCTCAGGCTAAACTAAAAGAACACTGCTCCAAAACTCAAATATAGCGGGACTCGGCCAAGTTTAAAAGGCAAGTGCTTAAAGTTTTGTGAACATTAGTTTGAAGGATCCATTGATGACTGGCGTTCTTCAACACTATTCAACAGTTTCTATGTTCGATTAAGTTGATGTCTTAATCACAATTTAACTAATAAAAATAGCGCTAAAATATAATTTTTTTCTCCATTTGAATCAAATTTCTGAATACCTTAGTCTATGTTTGAAATTATGTTACCGACATATTTGTAGTTTGATTCAACAATATATTTTCTTAGATGATATTTCGTACACTAATGGTAAAATATTTTGTACCTATGTAGGGTCAAATAAATAAAGAATAACTTTTAATAAACTGAAGAATCCCCAGTCTGTGAAATTCATCAAATCTTAGTATGACGGGCATAAAATACAAAAACCTAAAAAGTATGCTGATTTAAATTAGCTTACGTGAGTATCTGTAATAAATTTCGAAATTTGATTTTGTAATTAATATTTTAATAATATGATACAACAAAGATCTTTGAGATTGACAAGTTAGATACTCATATATTGTACATTTTATTAGATATTTATATCTTGTTACAGGTCTGGAAATTTGTTTAATCATTAATGTTACTCAATAATCGCTTTGTTTTGCTTTTATTTTGCTCTTAAATATAATAAAATTAATTTCCTTTCCTACATTTTTAATCAAACTTTACCATTTATACGCCAGTCAGGCTTCTTTTGAATTTTAATAGTACTAATTGCTTATTAAAATAATTTAGAAATCAAAGGCAGAAACTTGAAATAATTTTAAAAATGCTAATTAAGCTTAATTATTAGTTTACAAATTATTTCCTAATTATCTTATTAATTATTCGAAATTTAGATACTTTATATTTTTGAGATAAAAACTTGATTATTTATAGACAAACTCATAGATTTTGTTCTATGTGTCCAGATAAATCTCATAATTATTTTCACACAAACCAAGAAAATTAGCTAAAATAGGCGAAGTTTTTCTGTAGAAAATACGATTTTTTGGAATGCAAAAAAATTAGCATGTGATACACAGCTGTAAGGTTACATAAGGTATTATATTTAAGAACTATGATAATATCTTCTATTTAAATTAATTGTTTTCTTCAAAATATTAGAAATTTGAATCCATCAAAAAGTGTTCACTAGAAGAATCAAAAGGATTTCGTATAAAACGTATCCACGAGGCCAAAAACGGTGCGAAAGGGTTTGGTATGTCGGAGAAAAGCAACGGAAGGCGATAAAGGTGCACAGCAGCAGCGCGCGCTCTACAATCAGACACTTCAAGTCCAGCAACCCATTTCGAGGAGCCCGATCGTGAAAAGGTACGGAGGTGGCGCATTGGAATTAAAAACGGAAATCTAGTCTAAGTAAATATTACAGATGATATCAAGAAAGGCAGTAATCTATTATATACAGCATACAATCACGCTTATAGACACGAACACACACAAGGACAGAGTTTGCTGCGTAACGCCTACACTAGACTTGCTCTTGGTGCTAAATGTTGACAAACCTCAAGCAAAAATCAGTGGTCGCTCGGAATATTAAATATTAGATGCACTTCTGCACAAATTTTAGGATTTTTGACAAGGTGTATATATATATATATTATATATATATATATATATTAAAACAACAAACTGTTCATAATCTACACGTATATGAATTATTATAACATTTACATATATAATAATGTATTATATAAACTATACATACATGAGTAATATATATGATCTAGATATACATATTTGACTAGTATGTTATGTTACAATAATTAAGCATATAGTAGAGAGCGTCTTTTGTATGAAAAAATTACGTTTATATTTGAGTACTTAATTAATTTGATTAATTCTTTACTTTAGGGATATTAGTTGTTCAAAGCTATATGCAATATATCACTATGGATTTTATCATTTATTTACACATTTAATTAATTTTAATCTCACTGCTTGTAAAATACTGGCAATATTTCTCATGTCAGCGTTTTTTATGAAGTTATGTTTGAGCTTGTTTACAAATACAAAAAAAAAAGTACTCAATTTTATAAACGTATTCCATTTATAGTGCTGCTGATATATCAAACACAAGCAATAATATGACGCATTTGCGAAAGATTTAAAATGCGATTTGATCCAGAGTAACCAGTGATTTTTGCTGCATTTAAGCACACAGTTTTTACTCACAGTTCTTCCAATTTTTACCAAACTCTAGATAAACTTCACCTACAAACTTATTTTTCCTTTTCCAATAATCTGAAAGACATTTTTCTGGAGATTGGTAATATTTTTAAGCTTCTGCATTGATATAAAGAACAAAGGAATGTAAGTCAGTCATGTGACAGGTAAGGACAAACTTGAAAAACTGAGTTGGATATTCACTTGTAAATGGCACTTTTAGTGTTGATTCACGCGTAATCTAATGGTGACAAATATTACAAAAATAGCATAACCTAAATTTCGTTCACTTGAAATGCAAATGTGAATACATAAAGCAATCTGAAATTTCAGTAATCTTCTATTAATGAGCTTGGTGATAATTTATATTAATGCTTTAACTGTATTCATACTTTAACTAGAAAATGAATGCTGAATTTCCAAATACAGTTCAGTGAACTATTTCGGTAACTTGAACTGCCTCTAATAAATGTTAATGAATTTAACTAAATATTTCACTAGTAAAATTAAATTAATAATCCATTTTAGTATTATCATATTCAGAAGTAAGTATACAGTAGTAATAAACCAGATAATAATTTCATTTGTAATGATAATAAATGTAAGCCCTTTTAAGGAAGACAGAATTGGCATAAATATAAATTATTCAAGCGATATACTAATGTGACATAAATATTGATACAAGCACATTTTCTCAAAATATTGGACTACATTTGGTTATGATATGATTATAATTATTATTAATTGCAATTAATATAGCTTTGAATTAACAACAATTGCAAAAATATTAAAATAAGTGATCTAAACTAAAACACTACAAGTTTTTATTATATTATTAGTAATTCTATAATACTAAAAATACAGTTATTGATAACATAAATAATATATTAATAATAAGTTACTTAATTATTTATTTACATTGAAAGATACAAAAAATATAACTAAGCTAAAAATCTGTTGAAGTATAAATTATTAAATTTAATAGCACAGAGTAGGATTTATATGCGTAGGTGTATGCAGAATCATTATTTGTAATTCAGGTACTCTAACATTCTTGATATGAAAACTTAACAATTTCCAAGCAAACGCATAGATTTTGATATTTATATGATGATAAGTCTCATAATTTATATCTCCCAATAAAATAATTCCTGATAATCAATCGAATACTGCAAAATACCTTCGTGAATTCTAAATCAAGAGATTCAAGTTTGTCGACAACTAGGGAATGATTTACATAAATGAAATATGACGTGCTAACGTATAGGATGTAATGCATTACATTTTAATATATAGGCTCACATAAAAAATAAGAACTGTTCCAAGTTATTTAGTACTACAACTGAGAAATGCGAACACTAATATTCGTTGTTTTCTTAGAGGCGTATTCCACCTTTATTCTCTAGCACTACGTTTCTCAACCTTTCGGTGCTACAAATTCACAAAACAATGGTGCAACGATCTGATAATCAGATGGTAAGTAAGTCATCCGAATCTCTTGTCTTCTGACCGAAAATCGAAGCGGAGTTTTGGCTTAAACCTCAAACTTTTATACATTTTAGCAGTTATCTATAACTTCCCCTGGAAATGTACAATTACATCATGCAAACAATTAACACTCAATACATCATGCTTACATGTTTCATTTAAATACTTCTCCTGTGACACAATATACATTGAAACATAAGTACTCATATATGAAGGCCATGACTATGAGCACTTAGGAATATAAATGCTCAATATTTTTTAGGAGGCTGCAGAATTTGGCAAAATATATTAACATAATGAGCAATAGACATTAATAATCACGAATATTATAGCTTTTTGAAGCGCCATCACAGTGCTTTCGCCATATTAAAGCCAACACTGAATGCATACTCTGTGTACATGAGCAACTTGCGCAGCAACGAGAATAAATATAAGTACATTTGTGGCCAAAGTCGCAGCCTCCATCAACAATACATTGGGCAGAATCTCACTTCTGCAGTCAAGTTCTTAAAGCACTCTTTCGCACCATATTCAGATCAAAACATATATCTAGTCCATAAAAAAGGCATACTGAGTCTTCTTATGGTATTTCTATTGTGTTCTATAAGTATTATTATTATAATTGTCCCTCCATGAATAGATGTCACATTTTCCAGTCTCCAATGCAGAGAACAACGCTTGATTTTCGGTGATTATCATCCTCGTCAGAGGCATGTTGTTTTACAGCTTCCTCCAGATCACTTCGGGATCTATCTTAGGTGGTTTTGTCAAGCGGTACAACTCCAAAAGTTCAGGATGTGGTAGGAATGGAAAGGATACTACACAGGTAAAAGAGGTAGGGGTTGAAGAAACGAATTATTTTGTTTTAATAACTATGGGCTATAAAAGTGTTTGAAAATTAAAATATGAACTACTTATTGCTGCTATTATTTTGGACTTACATGGTTTAATGGGAAATTCTGACTACATTAAAGGTTGAAGTGTATCGTCGTATAGTGACATTTTTGCTAAAATATGTAAAATAAAAAGGGGTTTACCCTTATTTCATATTACGTTTCCGCTTATTTCACAAACAATTAAGCAGCTTTTTGAGGCTGATGCTTGGTTTACATTTTGCAAATAACAAGATAAATAAAATGCTTATTTTTCTGTTAGTTTGAAATAAAAAGTGTTCAATCACGCCGATTAAAAGGTTTATTTGAATTTATGTTCTTCGTGAATTTTATTTTAAACACTTGAAAATAAAGATAATTAAAATTGAAACGTTGAAAGGTTTTATCGAAACATGTTTTAAAAACTTTAACCATAAATAAAAGGAAAAAGTTAAAAACTTATTGATATACAATCACATAAAATAATGCAGTTAAATTGTCAGCTATACGACGGATATAATGCTATTATAGTCTATATTCAGAGGTCGTTAACATTACGGCATGTGTAAAGTACTAAGGGAATGCTAGTAATTTTATCCACAAACCCCATTTTGTTTTATGAAGAAAAGAAGCATTCATTTGAAAATAATATAATTGAAGATTATTTTTTGTTTAGAAAATTAATTTACAATACAATTTAAAAATTGTTCGATAATTATTATTTGTATATGGATTCTCTTTAGTTACTAGCGAACATTTTGAGCTCGATAATGCATCCAGCGTCGTTTGCCCCTTTATTTCATGTAACAGGTTTTATTGCTAAAATTTTTAATAGCACGGTTCAGATACATATTCTAGAAATAGATATTTCTCATTATTGCTTGATGAGTATATAAAAGAATTCTTAAATGCAAGAAGAATTTCTTTCTAGGTACAGGAAAATAATTTCGAAAAGTCTCTGATATGCAATTAAAGGATATGTTACAATTCCTAATCCTGAAAAATTGGTGAATACAAAGATTTTATTCTTAGCTGTTGCTCTTAAATTTAATAGTTGGCAATATAATCGGCTTTTGATCTCTAAATCAACCATTTTATGAAATGTAATATATAAAATTGTACATTGAATATTAAATGCATCAAAAACTAGATTTCGGGAATACTTCAGAATTTCGAAACAAAAAGGCAAACAGCAACGCCTGGAATAAATTCATTTAATAAGATTCAAAACTACTGGCCGGAATTTCGTGACTTTTTTCATCTTTAGCTCATTCCTGCAGTCTCCTTCTTAAGGGGGGTGAATAATGAACTCACTAGGTATCTACACTTACTATAATACAAGGAGTGTGAAAGTGTGTTCCATTTAAATTTGCTAAATGTATAAACGTTAAGAATTAGTACTAAAGACGCAGATTTTTGAAATCTATTAATTAAACCCCAGAACTAAAAGATTGCCCATAGAAACATATTAAGTACAAAAATACTTTATATTTTTGTATTTTCAACGAAACGTGTGTCACCATTTTGATGAAAGTGTAACTGTATTTTTGACTGCGGACCTCCGTGAATATATTTGAAGCTTATGTTTGTAAATTATAAGAGTAAAGAGCAGTTTCAGGTCACGAAAGGGGGAAAAAGTAAACATCCTGAAGTAAGGTAGGGGAATTGGAGATTTCTTTACTGGAGGAGACATTTTCCTTCGATAGATGACTTCAGTTCGCTTACTTGCGTTTCCAAAGAATTTTTCAGTTCTGAAAAACAAGAAAGAAAAGTATTTAATGAAAAATTCATTGATACAAATACCGATATTGCTTCAAAATAATAACACATTTATATTATGAATTCTAAAATATAATTGCAACAAAAGTAGCGATTTCAAATTTAATAACGATAGCTTCAGATTCAATAACATTTAGATGAGTATAAAAAACTTGTAGGGTTAAAAAAGAAATAGTTAATTAATTACAGCATATAATTAATCAGTTAATCCTGTATTATGTTAAATTATTAATAATTAATTAATTATATTCTATAGTTTTGATTTAGATCTGCTATGTCATTAAAGTAATATTACGCTTTGCTTTGCGTTTCTATTCTTTATTACTAAAATAAATGCATCGAAATTATGATTGTAAAATTTTATTACAAAAAAATTGTACACATAATATTAAATTAATATTTATATGAAAAAATACATACATTAGTATGTTTTATAAAAGAATTCTCAAAAGTAGATGTGCATATTTCTAAATTTCTTCAAAAAATTACGAATTAATACTAAAATTGTGTCTTAAAATAGGATAACTATAAAAATATTTTCTGGATTTAATTTCACATAGCGTGCATTTTATATTAAACTTCCAGTTGAAGCATTCGCAAATAAATGTTTCGACACATATACTCAGACTTCTGAATTGAATATTCACAAACACATTTACGTAAACACATAGGCATTAAAATCTTCTTGTAAAATTAGAAAGGTAAAAAGCATTCATATTTATGTTCAAAAATCGCAAAAATGTTCGAGAGATAATAAATAGTTTATGGAATAAAGTAACAAAAAAGACCCAAGTGTAATTTTTGAGTTAATAACTCCAGTTAGCTTCCACAGATCTTCAAAGCATTTTTTCTTCAATATTAATGTTAAGAAATCTAAGAAGGGTAAAAATTCCATGTTTGAAAATAAATATTTTTCACAGTTCAGTATATTAAAGGTCAGTATGCTTAGTGTCACTTCTTTAAAAGCAGCTAACATATATTTCCTTAAATGATACTGTAGTGTATTACATTATTATTCAGTAACATTTTATTTTGTGTTTTAGATCCTTGCTGTCACTTCTCCTTTCCATTTCCCTACCGTAATGTTAATTCAGATAGGAAAAAAAAAAACATGTAAAGGAAGGTTTCGGCAGTTTAATTCACAGCGTGTTCTCTGCCTCTCGAGGGCACGTTGCTACGTTGCTGCTAGCTAAGGCAAGACATGTAAACTCAAACCTGTGATACTATAAGATGGATTCCTTCTTGTGATACATTTTTTAAGATTAATTTTTGTGATACTCATACCACTCTTTATTAATATACTATTTTGTATGCTAATTTCTCAAAATGATATATTTTCCCCCTTGCCGAGAGAATATCAACTTAAAATCGTTTAATTTCTCACTGAAATAAAGTAAATTTTCAAATAATGTTTCGTTTGTAACAACTGAGAAATTTCGGCGATAAAAACATCATTTTCTCTAATCATAGGACTCTACGAATAAATCTCATCGATTTTGTGTCCACTATATAAATATTTCAACTTAGTGCTTTGATATCTTCCATCTGAAGTTTCATAGAAGTTAAATAAAATAACATAAATCGCATAAATTTAGATCATAAATTTATTTTATGTTAGTGATTGAAATTGCTTCAAGTCGACTATTTTTATACATTTTAATTGCAGTGTTTTTAATTTCAAATAAATAAGCGTGTATCCGTAAACTATTGTGTAAAAATACAGCTAATTCTCTGAAACTATTGTTTATTATTATTTATTTGCTTTTCCATGAAACATTAAAATGCCATATTTTGAAGTCTTTGCAGGATGGTTTTCAATCCAAGGCAAAACGCGTAAATATCTTTCTGCAAGCTATTCCGCAATTTTTTACTTTTCTTCTTCTGTTATTGTACGCATTTTCTGCTTTTTTATGGCTTCATGTATTGTATTTTTAGGATTTTATTAATTTTCACATTACGCTTTGTTTCTTTGCAAACATTATTTACATAATTGTTTATATATTATGTCTGAACTGTGCATTTTAATACTTAAGAAATAATAAAAAGAGCTGATAAACAACAGTTTCCTAGAACCCTCTGTTTTATTTTTCTTATTATAGGCTTTATGACTGATTAGATAAATAATCGGTGTAATATGTCCTACATACATTGCTGTAAAGTTTTATTTTTGATTATTTGCTTTGTGTAGCCACCGAATTAAGAAATCATTTCAGTTAGACTTGCTTTAGTTTAGGTCTTAGTTAGATCCATACATTTAGCCTTAACTATTTTTTAGTTATGTTCTCAGAGGTTTTTAGTTACATTCTCAGAGGAACATTTCTTTCAAATTAACAGACTAATTTCAGATTACTAAGCTGATAAATTAGCATATTAATACTGACCGGCAACATATTCTCAGATTTGAAAGCAATGCACCCAGTCTTTGATAGTACTTATTTATAGATTTAACATACATCTAATTGATACAATTTTTAATATCTCTTATGCATATAACTTGCATGTAATTGATAAATCATTTGAACATTTAGTTTGATTAATAAAATATATTTCTAATCTCCCGTATTACGCAATTTTGTACATTGAATAATGATAAACTGCTTAAATTTCATTGTCCTTTAATTTTACTCATGCAATGTCTATTCTCAAGGAAAGGAATAATTGTTAGAGAATACGGTACAGTATGTTTTCGTAGAAAGATCTAGAAAAACATAGTTGGTCCCTCAAATTCTGATCGAATAAATCCATAAGATCAAGGTCAATACAAGAATCTGGGTTCTATATTCGTAGATCAAATATTTGCATCCGAGTTCCCTATTGGTAGACTGATAAATATTCCGAATTTTCATCCAGAGCCCTGTCGGCCTCTGAGACCTTTTAATGGAGCTGCAAATTGTCCCCGAACCTTCCGACGGTAAAGACTTGCGAGGAAGTATATTTTCTTAGCACTAGATGAAAGACGAGTTTATTTAGAGACGAGAATCGAAATATAACTAGACAACATGCAGGTGAGAAGGCGAATTTTCTAGGACTTGTTACAAGCTAGTTAAAGAGTGCGAATGAGTTTATCCATTATAAATACGACACAAATAATTCACCCATTCTGTCTTCAGTGAAATATCAAAAGTGTGGTAAAAATGTCATACTGCTGATTTTTATTCCAAATAAAAAAATATGCACATTGTTATTATTTATCTTCGAATCCTCATAAGAAATTTACCTTTTAATTAACCAAAGAAATGGTAATCTAAATCATTGGTGCCCAACCTTTGGCATCTCGCGAGCACATTTCCAAAACATCAAAATATTTGTTAAACATATTTCCAATCTTATGTGATACATCTAAAATATTAATTTCGGCAAATATGTTTGAGATGAGTAATAATATTGGTTGAACTTTACGGAAATCAGAGAAGCGGAGTTCAAAATTTATTTTTCGGTGCATTTATGTTTTCCGAGTATTTATCTTGTTTCAATTCCCTTGCGGTTATCAATATTGCTTGATAAATTCTAAAAATGGGTGAAATGTTTTTGTTTCCTCTGATTTATACACAAATTTAACTTTACCTGAAAAACAGTTACAGTCCCAGTGAATTGAAAGAGCGTTTTTTTTCCTTTTCCCTGGAGATCTTCGTTCAGTTTGTTTAGCTGTTATATCCGTGAGAAAAGACAGATAGGATAACCAATTATCATCGTCCAATTCTTTATAACTTTCGTTTCCGGATTCCAAAAACTGCTTTCCAAAAACTTTATTGGCGAAAGAAGTTCTACAAATCGTTGAAGTAATTTTTCCCTGCTGAGCCATCTAACATCGAAATGAAGCACTAAGATTCCATGTTTAAGAAAGATTAAGTAGTACCCAATCGGGATGCCGAGCACATAACAAAACGATCGGCGAGCACAAGGTTGGGCACCGCTATTCTAAATACTTGATAGCTTGCTTGTATTTTCTCGCTATAGATAGGAAATCTTTGTTAAAGAATTGAATTTTTCACTACTGGTGCTCTTAATTTACAACAATTAAATATAGATCCAAATATGCAAAGCTTTCGCGTTCTGCTTTATTGAAGAATAACTTGAAGAGGAACAGTAAATGTTCCTCTAATTCCTTGTATCAAAATTCCTCAAAATTCAACATCTGGTACATGCACTAAAATGTTGAACAATAATATATTTGGTTTGATAGTCTGGAAGTCATCTGAACTTCATCCCAGACCCTTTTCTTCGCGAGGAGACATTAAATTAAAGAGATTCCTTAAATGTACTCTTCTGAAGTAATGATAAGCATAAATGAAACAGTAATTCGTAAATCTCGAATTCAAATCCTGGCGAAATCACTGAGGAAAATTTATTTTATGAACTCTCGAATCAAAACTGTCGTTTATATGAAATATGAGATCGTTTTCCACAGTTTCGGAATCACATAATGAAACAAATACGTCCTTTATACCAGTGATATGAAACTGAAATTGCATGTAGGCCGAATGCTCGATATGAAAGCAGATGATGAAACATAACATTTTTTAACAAATTTTTAAAATTTAAAAATTAAATTTCACTTATTGAATCTTTATTAAAACATACATAAAAATAATGATAACTGCACAAAAAATTCAAATTTATATTTATTTTCTATCGAAAGTCTAAAAGCTCGTACCTACAAGAATTTCTGATTGGTTATACTTTGTAATTTAAAGGTACTGACAGTTAAATATTACATTTTAGACTAGCATTTATTTTAGGCAACTCCCAAAAGTTGAATTAAGCAATAAATAACTCACTTTTGATCTTAAGTAGATATTTCAGAATACTGAATCACCATCAGCTGTTAGAGGGAAACTTAATTTACTGACTGTATCAACGTGGGAAATTTTCCCACCTTACATTAGTCACGTGGACTGGCATGCAAGCATACAGTGACAAAATCTCAACTTATTCATTGCATCTCTTTTCCGTCAGTGGCAGTCACGCACAT